ATGGTTTTTGCGGCTCAAAATCGGCCTGCATTACTTCTGACCCAAATGATTTACAATTGTCGGATCACGTGAACGCCCCGAGCCAAACATCCAAAAACATCTGTGATCGATCAGAATGCAAATAAATGTGCACACTATAAAACATTGCAAAGGCAGATCTAACGAGAATGATTAGGGAACAGTATTCGCTTCAGCACTAACTGCTTTCTGCTCCAACTTCCGACATTACATCATCAAACCCGCCCACATTCAGGCTTTAGAAACCACACCGACACAACGATCATGAAACTGAAAGCATTCAAACTGACATCAGTGACCAAAATAACCACTTTGCATGCACATGTGATAAAGCCTGGCTATGTCAACTGTGCAATGTGCAGATATTTCCTCTTGTAAAAGCTGTGCTGCAAAGCTCTACCTCACTCATACTGAAACGCAGCTGACACTCAGATCTGTAAGGGTGGGCGATATGGCAAAAAACATCACGATACTTCACAACCCACGATATGTATCACAATATTTAGTGTTTCTGAGTTTTGTAAACAAGTTGGAATGGAAAATGCCCTGGCAAAACAGCAGTGCCACGTTTAAAAAAGGTAAAGAAAAAAAAGAAATGGGTCATTCTACAAAAAACGTCCACTCTTTAACTCTCTGGAGTCACTGGTGTTACCGATGCTCATTGGTGTTACACATAAGAAAGGTAACACAATGTATTTTACAAAACAGCTGCTACAGAGCATCAAACCACATGTTGTCAATCATGGAATATCCACTAAAATACGGAATTGAATCCATTTGTATCCTATTTTTTCACAATTACCTCAGAATAAAGTCGGTCACACCAGTGACTTCAGCTAAAAGCTTCATATGAAATCATGAGCTAAATGAGAAAATCTCTGATAACTGAAAGACTCAGTGGACTCACCATGTGCTTTTCTTCATAGATCCTCAGACAACAGGTAAAAGGAAGTCAAGTGATGTCATCAGTGTGATTTTTATTTCAAAATAAGAGTTTTCGTTACACAGTAACACCTGTGACACGACTCCTGGGGACAACTTTCATTATATATTTTATAATATTTATTTGGCATTTGTTTTCTTTGTCATGTAAATCATATGTTTCATAGTCATATATAGATTATTGCAGATAAAATTGCAGAAAAATGTTTTTTGCCTCAAAATACAGCCTCAGCCTTCACACACGACTGTGAGGATGAGCTCTTCTGTGGTGCTTGGAATTCTATATGATTGATTTTAAAACCAATATTGCTAAATTGAGGCTCAAGAAGGTGTAATTGTTAAAATAACATTGTTTTATTTTAAAATATAAATAAATTGTAACCCTGACATGTTTTTCAAGTGTAATATATCTGTAAACGCTAGGGACACACAAATTTACATTTCTATACAATAACTTAAATATTTAAAAGCGAATTAGACTAATCTTCATATTTTCTGCATAATTTAGTGGTTACGATGTAAACAAGCTCATTCAGCGTGGGTTGATGTAATATGCTTAGTTCTAGAGAAACTTAACAAGTCATAACCGTTCACAGTGGTTGTGATGGGAACCAGACGTCTGAAGTGTTGAATTAGATTCAACTTTGTCTCTGTGCAGAGTTCAGGTACAGAGCCAACGATTACCATCTAACCCGAAGCGCAAAATACAGTATTATTTACATATAAATTGCAGGAAAGTAACCGCGGTAATGCCTGTAGAGGTATGAACTGGGCGTCAATTTTCCAGATTTATTTATTTATTTTGCAGATTTATCACTATTTTAGTTTACAACTTTAGAAGACACGTGTAGGTTCACTGGTCCTTTTGGACAGTAAATAAAATGGCTATATCTGCGTTGTAGACACTGCAACCCCTGGTTCCCATCACCACCACTGTAAAGACATAAACACCATCAGTAATCAGCATTATCATTACCATAAATCCTTAATAAGCAGTTACAACACATTTATAAAAAGGGCAACTGTGGCTTATTTTTGCCTAATAGTGAAACCACATTCATTTACAGTGTTAAACCTCAGATTCTTACTGTCTTAAATCAGCACTAAACCTGTCAGCTTCATCACATGTTCATATTCATCAGATATAACAGCTCACATTTGCCCTGTTTATTAATGTGTTATTACTGCAATACGAATGATTTTAAAGTGTTTATGACTCAACTAATAACCATAAACTAATTTTGGTCAACACTTTATTTGTAGATGCTCAATCTATCTTTAACTAACATTCAACTAAATATCAATTAAATGCAACTGAACTTGAAGTTGAGTGTGAAACGTTCTATTAAATCTGTCCCTAAGCCTAAACCTAACCTTAACCTCAAGGCAAAACCTACACTTGGACCTAAACTTAACCTCAATGTTGTAGATAATTAACTGAGTATCATCAGATAGTTTGTTAATAATAAAAGTATCTGTAGATCATCTATAGCGGACCATCTGACCCTAATTATCTAATTCATAAATGCTTTATAAGGGTAGTGTTATTCTAATGCGGTGCTAATTCATTAATAAAAGGGGAAAATTATATAATGTGTATGAAGTAGCTGATGTCCAATCAGCTGCTTGTTACTATACAGATTAGCTTGTATACACTGGCTGTAGCTGTGTATTGTTAATGCTTTTGTTCAGTGATCAGGAAGTACCAAGAATATTCAGCCACGATCAGAGAAATCGAGCCGAATATGACAGAGAACACGAGTTAACAAGGTAAAGGTCTGTTTTGATTTCAGGTTGACTTTAATGTGTGACTGAGGAACTGACTCTTTCAGAAACAGTCAGACAGGAAGAGCGAGAAACACATTGAGGAAGTGAGTATTGCATTTAGCGACACGCTAGAAACTACTGAGTTACCACATGACAGAGTCTTTCACCATAAACAATCATCTAGCCCTCAGGCTGAAGTGACAGTAGTGTATAAAGCACGAAGGACGTGACAGAAGCACTGATATCCAGCATTTTCTTTCTAATACATCCCACTTGGTCCAGCAGATACACCAATAAGGTCTAAAAGGGCAGGAGGTGCTGACCCTGCCTTAGATATTACACGTACAAACATATAATAATAGATTTAATAATAGATATAAATTTACTGAATTCAAATGACAATAAATTACATCAGCACAATTCTGTCTTTCGGTTTACTTTTGTTAATAACTGTGTTCATGTAATATATTTTATTCATGTTGAAATAATGAAAGTAAATTAAACACATTATTTTTTTTACTGTGTACAGATGTATGCAAAAGTTTGAACACCCCCAGTCAGATTACTTTCGTTGACTTCATAAGTTCCTCTACAGGGAGCAAATCATCTTACTGAAAGTTTAGTAAATTAATTTCTATTCATTTGCAGAGTTATTATTTTCTTTTTACTTAGAAAATCAACAAAAACGTCATTTCACCAGGGGCGCACAAACTTTTGCACACGACCACATTTGGCAGGTGCATTGTCTGTTTTCAAATAAATAACAATAACAGAATGACAGAATCTGTGGGATTATTAGAGTTTTTAATTCTAACATGGTAAATTATACTCTCCCCTTCAAAATTTTGGAAGCACGAGCCATATTAACAAGTTTTGCTATTTTCTATACAATAATAACTTATATAATGTGGATTAGCACATTATAATCTACCTGCCAAGGTATTTTTAGATGCTTTATTCGATATTTCGCGGCATTATTAAAGTATAAATAACATACTCTAATTATCTATTTAGTAGAGGTGGGCGATATGGCAAAAACATACTATCATGATACTTGAAATTTATACAATATTTCAAAATATTTATTTTCTCAGATATCTGACCAGCTGGAACAGAGAAAAAAGAACCAGTAGAGTTACATTAAAAAAAAAAAAAACTATCAAAAATGTAATAATGCAATAATTTTTATTTAATATTCGACATATGATGTTGCACTGAATAGCATTAAATGGGACTAATTTTGCTCTGTTTATGATGATCCACGCAGTCAGTGTCTACAAGTACTGGTGATATACAGGACACATTCAGAAAAGCTTGTATTTGAAATAATGTATCACGATAATAATATATATTGTCATATTGCCCAGCCCTAAAATGTACAATATTTTTGTTGTTTGTCTTGTGATCTTGTAATATAATGAATTCTGGATATTAATTTTATTATACCTCTTTCTCAGTGACATACAGCTTTCTCTGTCATTTTGGAATCAATCATCATTCTGATTTTTCATTCTAATTTTATTTACAGCTTCCTAGTGTCCTAATACTTATTTGAAAGCTGTGAAGCTGTACAGGTCTCATTAGAATCACTTGTTTCCCACTAAATTGGATTTATATTACTGAAAATATTGATTCCAAACTTTGGAACAGCAATCCCAAACTAATTGCTGGTGGATTAATTATTATATTTATTTTCTTCTAATTAAAACAGCATATATACACCGATCAGGCACAACATTTCTACGCTCATTGTCCATTTTATCAGCTCCACTTACTATATAGGTGCACTTTGTAGTTCTACAGTTACAGACTGTAGTCCATCTGTTTCTCTGATACTTTGTTAGCCCCCTTTTACCCTGTTCTTCAGTGGTCAAGACCCCCATGGACCCTCACAGAGCAGGCACTAATTGGGTGGTGGTGTTAGTGTGTGTTGTGCTGGTATGAGTGGATCAGACACAGCAGTGCTGCTGGAGTTTTTAAACACCTCAGTGTCACTGCTGGACTGAGAACAGTCCACCAACCAAAAATATCCAGCCAAGAGTGTCCTGTGACCACTGATGAAGGACTAGAGGATGACCAACACAAACTGTGCAGCAGCAGATGAGCTATCGTCTCTGACTTTACATCTACAAGGTGGACTGACAAGGTAGGAGTGTCTAGTAGAGTGGACAGTGAGTTGACACAGTGTTTAAAAACTCCAGCAGCACTGCTGTGTCTGATCCACTCGTACCAGCACAACACACACTAATACACCACCACCACGTCAGTGTTACTGCAGTGCTGAGAATGATCCACCACCCTAATAGTACCTACTCTGTCCATGGGTATGTATGCAGAGAAACAGATGCACTACAGTCTGGTCATGACGTTATGCCTGATCGGTGTATAATGTATGTCACATCTATAGAAACCCTTGGATTCATATACTGTCATATAAAATTAACAATGCAGGTCCAGCATGATCACCTTCTACTTAAATTATCCAGCGCACATGACTACCCATATGAATACAGTAATGCACTGTAAGGCTTAAGAGTAAACATATAATGACCTGCGGATCATCCCTGCCCATCAAACTGCACCTCCCACCATTTACCACACCACAAACCAGCACAGCGGTCACTCGGAAGGGGCTAATGAGTGAAGGCAGTCTTCAGTATGCGCGCACTGCAGGTTTTTGGTCCTCCGCTTGGTTGAATGGTTTGGCGGCGCTGGGCTGGTCCTGCTGGTCAATGGACTGGTAGGTATCTCTGTTCCGGGTCACTGTGGGAAAGCCTGAGGAGAGAAAGGCAGGACACACCGTCACTGCAGCTGTCCACTCATGCTGGACAATAATGATAGAATTTAACATAAAATGTCAAAAAGTTTATTTTTATAGCTCTTTTTATAACAGGTGTCGTCACAAAGCAGCTTTACAGAAAAATCCAGGTCTGAGACCCCATGAGCGTCGCCAATGGCGACAGTGGCAGGAAAAACGCCCTATGAGCAAGAGGAAGAAACACTGAGAGGAACCAAGACTCAAAAGGGGAACCCATCCTCCTCTGGTCGACACCGGATAGAAAACAGCGTTAGAATAAAATATTAGAATACAAAATGGGGAAAAACAGGTGGAGCAATAGTTAATTAGATAGTTTGAGTTTATGCAGCAGCAGCAGGAGGGTCAGTTCATGCAGGTGAGGTTTGCACAGCTTTGTACAGTGTGAAACTCCATGGTGGTCAAAACGGTGCAGATCAGCCAACAGAGATGGAGCTCTGGTGACTCCAGCAGCTCTGGTGGCTCCCATGTGGCGACTCAGGCAAAACTCAGGGGCTCTTCACATCTGACTTTACATCTACAAGGTGGACCAACAAGGTAGGAGTGTCTAATAGAGTGGACAGTGAGTGGAGGTGTTTAAAAACCACCACCACATCAGTGTTTCTGCAGTGCTGAGAATGATCCACCACCTAAATAATACCTGTTCTGCGGGGGTCCTGTGGGGGTCCTGACCACTGAAGAACAGGGTAACAAAGTATGCAGAGAAACAGATGGACTACAGTCTGTAACTGTAGAACGACAAAGTGTATCTATATGGTAAGTGGACCTAAAAAAAGGACAAAGACTGTAGATACAAGGTAGGTGTGCTGGTTGAGGGAGCAAATGTACCGAGCCATTACTGCTGTACATTAAATTATAGAACTAATGAAGCCAATTTCAGTGATTTTTTCACAAATACACTAAAACAAAACAAACCAGGGATTACAAACCCTGAGAAAGCTGGACCTCTGAGTGGCCCAGATTGTGTCCAGTGCTCAGATAATCAGAAACACTCCGCCGCATGCTGAGTGCACTGAATTTGCTGCATAAAGGCTTCATCACATGTCACTGGACAGCTGCCTCCTGTGTGATTTATGCAGGTTTTGCTGGAGCAGTCCGCCTGCAGTGTGCTTATTCGGTCAGTCTGCACATCGGCTGTAGTGGAGTCACTGAACAAATGCTACACAGTCAGCAGAATGAAGGATGAAGATGTTTTTCACTGAATTACAGAATCCATATTTCCCTCTAATGAACCACGTTACATGTGACCCATCAACAGGACAGAAAGACAAGGAATGAAACCTCGATCTCCATTGTTTATTAAAGGGCTCATAAGATAGATAAACTAATTTTCTTTGCTTTTTTTAATAAAGAGTTTGATGCAGCGTGGAATAGTTAAGCGACCCTTATTAGTCCCACAACGGGGAAATTTCACCTCTGCATTTTGACCCATCTGTGCACTGAAAAACCACATACACACTAGTGAACACACGCTCTAGTGAACAGTGAACACACTTGCCCGGAGCGGTGGGCAGCCCTATCCACAGCACCCGGGGAGCAGCTGGGGGTTAGGTGTCTTGTTCAAGGGCACTTCAGTCACATACTGTCGGCTCAGGGGATCGAACTGGCGACCTTCCAGTCACAAGGCTGGTTCCCTAACCATTCTCAATTTGGAGTTTTTGTGATGTCACAAAAACTAACATATTTACATGCAGTACTGTGCAAAAGGTTTTTGTTTTATGTATCACAGAATTTCATGGGGCTTGGGTCGGGTTCGGATTCAAAACTTGATGATGTGGTTAGGGTTTGGCCCAGTTCAAGCAGAATTTTGTCAGGCTCGTGTTGGGTTTGGGCTCAAAAAGCGAAGCTGAGCGTCGGGTCGGGCTCTCTGACTGTATTCCAGTTTAAAAAATTCAGGTTGATTACTTTATGTGTCATTTTCTCAGATGCCTATAACACTTTTACTCAGTACTGTATATCTGCCTGTTTCATATGTCATCTGAAGTGTTTCAGCCCAGACTATTTTTTAAATGAGGCGCTATATGGGACAGCCTGTAAAAATGAAACATGAGCTAAAAAATACAAAAAAACAATTTCTATAAAATAAATTACAAAAAATGTAGGATATGGGCGCTTTAAAATCTTAAAGTGAAGTTCAAAATGAAAAGTTGGATTATCTGTGCTAAATAAACTAATAATGTAAATGCAAACATGGCGTAGAAGAATAAAATAACCTGTGTCTTTTGATTGGTTTTAAATGTCACTAAGACGAGTACAGAAATAAGCTTAGTCTGGAAAATGTGCGCTTAAGACACTTAAGACATTAAGACACTTAAGGCAACACACTTCCTTCCTGTACTTCACCACAACATCTAACCTCCCTCTGCTCAGTGTTTTTTTTGCTGAATTTAACATGCTGGGAAAAAACAAAACATAAAATATAAAACGTGTGGCCATATTTTATGTTTCAGTTTTTTTCCCCCAATATGTTACATTCAGCAAATCAACAGTAATCAAAATATGCAGTGTGTTCTCTGTAGAGGACATGTTGACTGGGGCGCCCAAACTTTTGCATATGCCTATATGTTTTCTCTGAGGTTTGATTAGTTGAAACAGACACAAACAACAGCAGTGCCACGTTTACAAAAGCCAATTAATTAAAGCCAATTAAACAGGACTAATTATGCTCTCTTTGTAATGAAACACAGTCATCAGTGTTCTTTCAGTACTGATATCCATGATATTCTCAAAAAAGCATATTGAGATTTAATGTGATGTAATTTATCATGACAACGATAAATATTGCCCCACCAGGCCAGAATGATAAACGAAGCAGAAGATTAAAACATTAAATGTATGTTACTATTAATATTATTGTATTATAATATTATCATGACAATATTATTAATATTAAATTCATATTTTGACTACTTTACATTGCAAAAGTGATGAACATATATTATTATATACATAGATTATTTTATTATGTAATCATTTCTCGTAATACCCAAAATACTTGAAATATTGCACAAAATATCTAAATTCTAAATAAAGTTCTACTATTTAAATCAACACAGTGCAAGTAGTTGTTGTACATAAAAAAGAACGAGATATTAATATAACAAATGATTCAAAGATAACAGTAGTCTGTGTTTGTGATTTGATCCCTGGATTATCAGAAAAAAAACACAAATGTGCATTTATACAGGTGAATGCAAAAGTTTAGGCACCCCTGGTCAACTGACATGAAAGAATGCCACACTGTCTGTGTTTGCATGCAAACACATTCCAATTACAGATTCAGACTGAGGTGTTTATTCTCACTCTACTCAACAATCTGATAGTAAATCTCCGTTTACATGCTCATTACAAGTAATCCTATCCTAAATGACGCTCATGCATAGAGAACCACTTAGTGTAGACGTTTCCATGACAACCAGCATCACGCGAGTCCAGTCACAGTGAGATGAGCAGCAGTGAGCAGTGCTTGTGTTTTTAATTGCTTTAAAATGATGTCAGACTCAGGAAAACGTCCTTCACGTGTCCTTATTAAAGAAGGCCGAGAGGAAGACGTCGTGCTCTGAGACACATAAGCTGGACGTCCGTCCCACCGCCGTCTTTTAAAGATCAGAGCATAAACTTCGTCTCCTCTGCAGACCAGTTTCTGCTCCGCCATGTTGAACGGTATAAACTCTCACTATGACGCGACGAACATGATCAGAACGGACTTAAACTTTCCGATAGGGAATGTAATCAGATACAGGCGTTTACACGGATATTATTCTTCTATTTAACGGATTATTTACAGGATTACCCACCTCGATCAGTCGGATAGAAACTGTATTCCGAATGGCCTCAATCGGACTATTCCCATGGACGTATTCTATTCCGATCGAGCTATTAGTCGGATTATTAATGGATTATTAGGCTGCATGTAAACGTGGCTACTGAAGTCTGTTCTCTGTAGAGTGTTAAATTATTTTTACTTAGAAAATCAACAAAACGTAATTTGACCAAGGGTGTTCAAACTTTTGCACACTGTAGTAACTTGTAAATGCATTCATATGTATCACACAATCACTTCACAGCAGAAACAAAGCAAATCAAAACACTAAAAAGGAAGATGTTACGAAAGAATCAGGAGACACAGGGTGGAAACAAACAGCAGAGGAGGAAAGAAATCAGAATAAAGACAAAAGACATACAAAATAAATACATCACAAGTGATTTTCAGTTGGAATAAAAAGGTGTGGAGGGGAAGAGGAGTGTTTTCAGTAACGACGGCCGAGAAAAGTGCTGTCAGCACTGTCTGTGGTGCAGCGACTGTCCACTGACGTCTCCAAGTCTGACAAATGGAAGGGACAGACAGACAGACAGGATACACAAAGACAGACAGAGAGAAAAAGGATAGAGAGCAGAAAGTGGGAGCAGGAGGAGAGAGAGAAAACAGATCAGTGAGGACGGGTAACAGACAAAAGATGAAAGCAACTACTCAACTACTCTACTCATGCTCCGCCCACAAACGTGCTCGTTCATAGCTACTGTTGCTATGTTGGACAAGCTTCGCACAATGTTGGCAAACGTCCCATTCAACCTAACTCCAGCTCACATTCAGTTCCTGCCAAAATACCTAAATACAGAGTGTTATTCATTCGAAACGGTCTTTATTTTGTATGCATGTGAAAATCAAACTGTTTTAATAGAGGATTTATTCAGCCGTATGCACATTTAGTTTAGCACATTTGGTCAAATTACATGTTCTGTTGATTTTCTAAGTGAAAATAAGTGAACGCATCCTTTGCAGAGAGACACTTCTGCACATTTTAATCCATAAATTGCTGTTTATTTGCTGAATTTAACAAGTGTGGGCTGTGGAAAAAGGTATATTTTATAAACTTATTTTCTCTTAGAAAAACAAAAAAACTAAATTCGATCAAGCGTGTTTAAAACGTTGTAAACGACTGTAGTTTTTTGTGTAAGC